TGATTTGGATAAAATTTTCATCCATTTTGTGTTAACACTTCCATCTATTGGTAGATTTTTCTGCTCTTTTCTGCATAATTTATCATAATGTCTTTGTATCAAGGCTTTTACACTTTTTCAAAAACTTGTCATTGGAAGGGCTTGGTTTTCCTGGGTCAGCTATTTGCTGATTGCTCCTGTGGGTGTAAGAAAGAATTAGGGTAGCTTCGTGGGCTCCATAACTGTGATTCTCCTCTGCTGCCATAGAGACAGACTGCTTCCTGCAAATATGTCTTCTTTCTGTAACTCTTCACTATACCTCCTCTGTTTCTCTGAACCAAACAAGATCCAGGAGAGCTTCTGCTGCTAACAGTACTCACCCAAGCTTCCACATTCATTTTTATAAATAAGGAACATAACTTTCATCTCGGGGCAAGCCCTCATCCCTCAGAAGTGTAGTTTTGCTGATGCTTTCTGAGATTTGTTATCACTGAGCCCACTCACCACTCCCATGTGGCTTCTGCCCTGTCTTAGCTGCTTCACACATGCTCTGAAGCCAATGAATTATATGTCTCTCCTGGCTTTGCTAAAAATGGAGTTTGTGGTCTGGTTTTGTTTATTTGTTTTTCCATTCTTCTTGATCCTCTGGTATAATTTCTAGAAGGAGAGGGTAAATGTGGCCTTAGGCAGCCATTTTTCTACCCCCATTATCTAACTGGATTCTCTTTAGTAACTCTGAGACATAATAAGCAAAGCAGCTATGACTGCCGTCCCATTTTCAATATGAGAAACCAGAAGTTCTGAGGCTCCTGGGGTGCTTCAGGGTGGCAGGAGGACCAGCACTTGGGGTCTGTCTGGATGACGGATCAACATGGGTCTCTTTTCTCCTTGTCTTCCATACTACGCTGGCTCTCAGGCAGGATAGCAGGGAGTTGAGGAGACTGAGGTCTGACTTCACCATTTTTTCCACTACAAAGTGCCAAGGCAGCTGGTTGGGAGCCATAAGGCCACCTGTCCCCCTGTCCTGGGAAAATCAAAGGATGAGAAGCTTGCTGGAGTCCCTCTCCTGTAGCACCCACCACCTCTGGCAGATAGCCTGGGAAAAGGGGCAAGACCACTCCAGAACATCCTCTCACAGGCTAAGATGAGGTCCAGGTGGACTTAGCCTGGGAACGCTGAACGAAAGGCCTCCTAGCCCAGCCATGTTTGCATCTGGATAGCTGCCCCCACCTCTGGGCTCTTAGCCAAGCACATTCCCTACATAATCCTGGCTTTCCTGGGGAAGAATGCTGGAGGATGGCTCCCCTGCAGCTGACATCCTTGCACTTTAGAGACCTACAAATCTCCAAAGGCTCAGGCATGTGCCCATTCTTAGAGACAGTCAGCAGCAAGGCCTGGATGGCAGAAAAGAGGTCATTTCTTCCAACCCTCTGCCTCTGATTCAGACACGCTTTCTCTTCCTGTATAAAAAAGACCAAGTGAAGAGGTTTTCTGTCTTTCATTTCTTCTGTAAAATTCTTGATAAAGAGGCCTGCACAGTGCTTGCAAATAAATACTTGGTAACATGTGCTGAAAGAATTATGCTTCATCTCTTTTGTTGCTGCTGCTGCTGCTGCTGCTGCTGCTAAGACAGGGTCTCACTCTGTCGCCCAGGCTGGAGTACAGTGGCACAATCTTGACTCACTGCAACCTCTGCCTCCCAGTTCAAGCAATTCTCCCACCTCAGCCTCCTTAGTAGCTGGGATTACAGGTGCACGCCACCTTTCCTGGCTAATTTTTGTATTTTTAGTAGAGATGGGGTTTCACCATATTGGCCAGGCTTGTCTTGAACTCCTGACCCCAAGTGATCCACCCACCTCAGCCTCCCAAAGTGCTGGGATTACAGGCTTGAGCTACTGCACCCAGCCTTGCTTCATCTCTCTCTCTCTCTAGTTTTTTTGTTTTGTTTTGTTTTGTTTTTTTGAGACAGAGTTTTCTCTCTTTTGCCCAGGCTAAAGTGCAGTGGCGCGATCAACCCCTGCCTTCTGATTTCAAGTGATTCTCCTGCCTCAGCCTCCTGAGTAGCTGGGATTACAGGTGCCCGCCACTACACCCAGCTAATTTTTGTATTTTTTAGTAGAGACGGTGTTTCACCATGTTGGCCAGGCTAGTCTCGAACTCCTGACCTCATGATCCACCTGCCTCAGCCTCCCAAAGTGTTGGGATTACAGGCGTGAGCCGCTGTGCCTGGCATAGCTTCATCTCTTTTATTAAGTGCCTACTGCATGCACTAGACACAAGATCTTCTTGAATTTGTCCAACCACCATGGGAGGGGGGCCCTGTCATCACGATCCTCTTGTACAGATGTACCAAGGCTCCAAGAGTAGAAAGCAGCCTATTCTAATTTAACTGGTACAAAGAACATTCAACCAAAAGGATTCTAAAAAGTTTGGAGATAAAGTATACATTAGTCAATCCTTTTTGCTTAAGAAGATCTCAAAATTTCCATGACTTGTAACGACACGTACGTTTTTCTTCCTCGGACCTCTGCAGGTCAGCTAGGGGTTCTCTACTTCAGGCTGCAGGTTGAGCTCAGGTTTGCTCTGTGGGTCATGGCTCAAAGCAGAAACCAAGGTCAAGTGGAAATATGTGATTCCTCGTGAAACCTCTACTCAGAACTGGCAACTGGTTATTTCTTCATCCTCCACTGGTTAAGTTGAGTCACAGGCCCGAGTCCACCATCACCGAGTCAGGGAGATATTCTCTGCCCATAGTGGGAGGCACCACAACCCTGCAGCCAAGGGTGGGAACGTCTAATTCTGATATAGGGAGTGGGTGAGAACCGGAGACTGATTTAATCTACTGCAGCACAGTTCCAGGGGTGGCTAATTAATTGTGTGACTTAGCAAAAGCTCTCCTTAGGCTCCAAGGTGGCTGCCACAGCTCTGACCCAATCTCTGGCCACTATTACCAGGTGTGGTACTAGCATGACCAACCTTCCTGGTTTACCCAGGACCAGGAGGTTTCCCAGGATGCGGGGCTCTCAGTGCTAAAACTGGGAAAGTCTGGGCAAACCAGGATGCTTTGGTCACTTGACGTGTGTAGCAGATTGTTTCTGAATATTCGGGGGTAACTGGGGCAACATGTGAGTGTGTGTGTGACAGTAGTGTGTGTGTGTGTGTGTGTGAGTGTGTATGTATACGAGTGTATGTGTGCTGTTATTCCACAGCCCAAGACAGCAAACAACTAAACACTCAGGATGACATGTCACCAGTAGAAATGGTCATTTATTGGCTCCTAATTCCATGGGGAGGATGTCACACTGGGACAGACCCCCAGTCTGCCCTCATGTCGGCCTAGTCTTTGCCCCCCCTTTCAGGCTGCCCCCTAAAACTCTATTGTCCTTCCCTAATTCTACAGGACAATTTTGTTCAACATCCCAACTCCAAACCTATTTTGCATACCCCAAATGTTTAAACCACTGGCCCTTGGCACAACTAGACTGCACGCCTAAAAATCGGTGGGCAGGTGTGTGCTGTTGGTCTATGCAGTGTTTTAAAATAATCAGAGCCATTATTTCTGGCTTCTCTTGAGTCTGGAGACCTGGCCACACTGGGCATGTATTTCTGCATGGCTTTAGTTGGCTGGAACTGATAGAAGCTGCTTCCTTTTGGATGGGGTAGCCCTCTCTAGTTTTCCTCCCTGTTGCCGTCCTGATATGACTGGCTCACTTCATTCATTTGCAATACTTGCTCGAAGACTTGAGTTTACTAGTCTCTCTTTAGCAGCACAAAAACACCAGAAATGTCGCAGTTTGGGTCTTTCCTTCCCCTCCACCTCTCAACCTCACTTAGCTTCTATAAGTGGAAGAATTTATTCTTGCATTGTTCCAGTTTTAGATGGCAGCTGTGCTTCCTTTCGTGGCTGCAGCAGCCATGAAAACACACCTCTCAGACCTCCCCTGGAGGAGCCTGATTGACAGATATGCCATGCTTCCCGGGGTTTGCTCCTAGCCAATCACTGGGGGAAGCAGGCTTGTTCTTGGGAGACAAAAGGCTCCTCAGGAGGCCTAAGGACAACCTGTTAGCCTTGAACTTTCTTTCTTTCTTTTTTTCCTTTCCTTTTTTTTTTTTTTTTTTTTATTTTGAGACAGAGTCGCTCTTTCACCCACTCTGTAGTGCAGTGGTGCGGTCTCGGCACCCTGCAACCTCTGCCTCCTGGGTTCAAGCAATTCTCCTGCCTCAGCCTCCCGAGTAGCTGGGATTATAGGTGTCGGCCACCATGCCTGGCTAATTTTTTGTATTTTTAATAGAGACAGGGTTTTCACCATGTTGGCCAGGCTGGTCTTGAACTTCTGACCTGAAGTGATCCACCCACCTCAGCCTCCCAAAGTGCTGGGATTATAGACATGAGCCACTGTGCCCGGCCAGCCTTGACCTTTCTAAGAGTGCACTGCAGCCCACGGTCCCTTCTTTCCTCTGTCCCTTCCTTCCATTTGTCCTCCTTCTTTCTGTCCTTTTCTCCCAGCCCCCTCTGGCTCCCTCTTCATTTTACTCCCTGGCACTCCCTCAATAAGCCTTTAGTATAACTCTTCTCATCTTGGCTCTCCTGGAGGACCTGCTCGTAACAGATTTGGAAAAACCAAGAGGTGGAGAAAGAGAGGGCTTCCAGGCAGGTAAACAGCATGAGCAAAGGTGTGGAGGTGGGAAGGCCCACGGTGTGTTTGCAGCACCAGGGAGTAAGTTAGTTTGTCCTAAGAAGACATCAAATTCCCGTGCTCTAGCTTATCAAAGGAAGTACTATGGGACCTTGGGTGAACTGACTCTTTCTGGACCTCGATTTCACCGTCTGTGAATTCAGAATAATAATACTATGCATTTGATAGGTTCTTTGGGAGGAATAAATAAATTATTATGAGAAAGTGTTTCAAATGGCATAAGTTACCAACTAAATTTAGAGCTATTGTTACATAAAAAAATTTAAAACTGCCCCTCTCTGTTGGGACTGGTTTTTAACCTTGAGGAAGGCAATACGCATAATATTTTCCTTTCCCGACACAGTTTATTTGTAGCTTTTAGGATGCAGACATGAATCAGAGCTGATCCTTGGAAGAGAGAAAGCAGTGGTGCAGGGTAGAAGGCCTCCCTTTCCCAGGCAAAATTCCCTGTGTTCTAATTGGGTTGGGTCTTGACATTACTCTCACAACCCCACAGTGGCCAGGGAAGGGAACAGAGGCTTGGTGAGGTGGGAGAGTTGCCTAGATGTCTTGTTTCTACTGGACAGTGAACATCTGAACACACTGAGGCTCCTACAGGGAAATGTCTGAATGTTCGACCCTGGGAGAATAAATTTGCCCAGGGGTCCAGCTGACACATGAGCTTCCCTTCCCCAGAGGAAGGCTTACATGCCAGAGTTGGAAGCTCTGCGGGTAGCTCCCTGCTATCACCACTACCAGCAACATGCCCATTGCACAAGTAAAGTAGTTGAGGTTCACAGATGAAGCAACTTGCTTAGGTTTAGATGAAAAGCAAAACTTGCTTTTCAAGTCCTTGCGTATTCCAGCCCTTTCGCCATGGGCTAGAGGGGTGATCTTCCTTGGGATGATCTTCCCTCATCTTCATTCCGAGGCCATATCAGCTCTGTCCTCAGCAGGGTCCTTTCAGTTCTCCCGGGGCAGGGGAATTTGGAATTTCTGCTATTTTTCAAGACCTGCCTGTTCCTCCAAGATGCCATAGCCAGAGGGTTGGATGTCCTATTAGCCTGATAAACACAGAAAACCTACACAGTAAGAAAAGTAGAAATAATAAGACAAAGCAACATTTTTGAATTCTCGCATGGGCCAGTCCTGTAGAGGTGCCCTGGATGCATTATCACCTCATTTGGTCCTCCCCTCAGCCATACCTAGAAGGCGTCTCAGCTGGGAATGTCTTTGGCTGCAAGTATTAGAAAAATCTGACTCACGGTGTCTTAGCACAGACATGTGGTTAGCTCATTAAATGAGAAATCTACGGGGGGGCGGGGGGTGGTTCCAGGGATGGTGATTCTGCAGCTCTAGTTTGAGGTTCTGCAGTTTTCTTGGCCTTCCCTCATAACACTACAGCCCCCCTCAACTCCCCAGCCAATCACCTTCCCACACAATGGCCCCCAAAGCCGGAAAGAAGGCAAATATGAAGGAAACACATTTTTCTAGAAGCCTCCAACAGATATCTGGAAGGTAGGACAAATCACTAGCAAAGATGGATTTCCTGGACCGGCTCAGATCCATGGCGGGTCATTCTCTGGGAAGGGGGCCTGGCCACCTTCCTAAATACATGCCGACTCCTGAACAAATCCAGGGAGAGCCAGAGGCTCACATTCATCTTCCTTTGGTGTGTGAGCAGCTGCCTCTCCTTCCCTGGGAGGATTTTGTCTATGGCTCGAGAAGGGAAGAGAGTATCTGGGAGAGAAATTCGTACTGAATTGAAATTGGTCTGCACTGAAGCCAGGTGCGAGGAGTAGAAGAGCTAATATTTATTGAGCACCTATTGTAAACCAGACCCTGTGCTGGGTGATTTCATTCTCTTTTCATTTAATTCAGTTATCACAGCAGCCCCATGAGGAAGGAACTGTTCTTCCCATTTTTCAGATGAGAAAATTGAGACCAAGCCTGATCACAGATAATGAAGAGGAGCGGGACTGGTCTAAGCATTAATGGTGGTTAACTTTCCCTGATGCTCCTGGTGTGACAGGCGCTCACACAGGTGTGCCCTGTGGACTAGGTCATTTATTCCTGACCTCAACTCCATGAGGTTCTCTTTTCCCCATTCTGTCAATGAGGAACCCCAGCTTGGGAAGGTGGAGCAGTCTGCCTGGGGTCACAAAGCTAAGGATTGGCCAAGCCCGGCTGGGAACCCCACTGCTAGCAGACAGCCCTGTGGAGCTCCCCAAATTTGGAGAAAATCCTCTGCGCCCATTCTGCAGCCTTTTTGGGATTGTTGGCTTCTGTGGCAGATAAGGTGGAAAAATAAACAAGAGGTTCAGGAAACTCCTTTTGCCTCTTGCTGTTCTGAATCTGCCGAGGCCACGAGGGGGTCATCCAGCTGCCTTGACAGCTGACATTAAGCAGGCAAATAAATGAATCTTGAATATGATAGCAGGACATGTGAAGTACTGCCAAAAAAAAAAAAAAAAACAAAAAAAGCTATCAAAAAAACAAACAGACAAAAATTAGTAACAGGTTATGGCACTATAGTGTGGTGGGGATGACTGCTTTAGAGCAGGTGGCCAAAGAAGGCTTCTCTGCAGTGACAGCTGAGCAGACACAGAGGGACTGGGGACGTGGTGGAAAGAGCGGGCTGTGCGAAGAATGCTCCGAGCAGAGGGAACAGCACGTGCAAAGCCCTGTAGTGGGACTCTAGGGAAAGATGGGGAGATCAGTGTGGCTGAAGCAGAGTGGGTGAGGGAGAGAGTCAGGGACATGGGTCAGGGAGGTAAAGGTGAGAGGGGCGGATCATGCTGGTTCTTGAAGGGCCTTATCAGGACTCTGACTGACAAGGATGGAAGCCAGGAGACCAGGGGGAGCAACAGCTTCTCCAGAGCTCTGCTGGGAAGGTGGAATGAAACGTGCCTAAGCTCACCAGGCACTGAATGGGCAGACACAGGACTAGAACCAGACCTCCTGGGTCTGAGTTCCAGGTTCAGCCCATGGTTTCATAAAACTTACGTGTGCCAAGCACTCAACAGATTGTGACTCCTTTTATTGTCAAGCTCTCATCACTTCCTCACAATAGCCCCAGAGGTAAGCACAACTCTGCCCTCTCTGCTTCCAGATAGCAAGGTGGGCTCAGAGAAGTTGAGCTACCTGCCCAAGGCTTCCCAGGGTGGGAATGGGGATGGTAGGGCAGGGGCGTGGAGCAAGGCTGGATTGACCCCCAGGCATTCTAGCCTGGAGCCCCAGTTCTCATCAGCACCCTGGGGTGGTACCTTGCAGAGCCGCGGGCACAGGGGGCTGGCACCCAAAGCACCAGGTAGCGGCGACAGTGGCCACCACATCCGGAGGCCCTAACATGCACCAGGTAGAGGGTGCATACTTCACGGGCACTATCTGTCCCCAAAGCAGGTGAGGATGAGGGGACTCCCTGAGGCACCCTTGTACCCCCCGCCCAGTAGTTACTGAAGATACTATAGGGTGCGATATAATCCACCCAACCCTCCCAGCCCAGACCACACAATGGAAAACTCCAGATCTCCAGGACGCCTGGGGTGGGGGTTGGTGTGAGGAGGAGCCTTGGGGGGATGCCCTCTGTCTAGGTGGACTGTGGAATGTGGTGGGAAAGCTCCTCCTGACCCCCTTACACTCCTCCTCCGTGTTCGTCCCCTCCTACCACATTTTCTCCTCCCACTCTGCCCCCTCCTCCCCATACTCCTTCACTATTTCCCCATCGCCCCTCCGTCTTCCCAGATTCCCTCCCCTTCCCTTCCCCAAAAGTCCTCTCTCATCTTCCCCATCCTTCTTCCCTCCCACATATAATTTCTTCCTTCCTGTACATCCTCTTTCTCTCCCCTCCCTTCCATCACCCCTGAGTCCACCACATCCCCCTCCGTCCTCCATCAATCTCCTTTCCCCTTGGTCACTCCCCAGCCCACCATATCCCCTCCGCCCCCCTCCCCCTCCCTTTCCCCTCCCCTCCCCTCCCCTCCCTCCCACATTTTCCATCCCGGCCAGAGCTGCGGGGAGAGGGGTTCTCCCAGAGCGCCCTGGGCCGACCCCTGCGGACCTCGGAGGGCCCCATCCTCCCGCCCCGCCCGGCCATCCCGCCCCGCCATCCCGCCCCAAAGCGGGCCGGGGCGGGCGGAGTGGGAGGGGCGCGGCGGGTGGGGGCGGGGAACTTTACCTGGTAGTGGGCCAGGCCGCCAGCCCCGCCAGCCCCGCCAGCCCCGCCAGCCCCGCCAGCCCCGCCAGCCCCGCGATGACTTGGGCCGCGCTGCTCGGCCTCCTGGCCGCTCTGTTGCTGCTGCTGCTACTGAGCCGCCGCCGCACGCGGTGAGTGTCCTGCTCCGCTCGGCCCCGCCAGACAAAGGGGGCGGCTCCCGCCTGGGCTGCAGCCCAGGGGTCTCGGAGCCCGCCGCCAGCCCGGCCCGAATCCCACTCCAGTATCCCGGGCAGGGCGAGACCCTTGGAGGCGAGAGTCCCGGGGCCCCGCACCCGGGGGAGGGGGCCAGGCAGTGCAGCCCCTGCCAAAAAGGTGTAAGGTGGGACGGTCCGGGGTCCGGTAGGTCCCCCGGGGTGAATCACCCACCTCGACAAGTCCGGGTCTGGCCCTCAGCGCGACGGCAGGGACCTGGGAGGGGATTTCAGGTGAGGACCTAGGGTTTGTGGGCGGGGAGCGGTGCGGGGACAGCCTCGGCGTGGCCCGGGTGGAAGAAGCACTTCCACTCTTCAGCCTCCGCCTGCACCCGGCACCCACCCACACGCTGTCAAACCCTGCCTTGCTTTCCGCAGTCCTGTAGGGGTAGCCTCGCTCCTCAACCCATTACACAGATGGGAGTGTTGAGCCAGCGGAGTGCAGAGCCCTGGGGGATGTCCTGATCATGCCCTGGAATCACCTTCCCCGGATTCCCTGTCTGGAAGAGGGGGGTCGGTGGGCTTAGTAATTTCATTTGCCAGGGAGAAACTGAGGCCTGTGAAGGGCTCTACCTTCCCCTGAGGTCCCACAGCCTGGACAGAACGGAGCCAGGGTCAGATGTCACAGCCTCCTGGTCCCAAAGGTTTCCCAGCTCCATTGAGCATCTGTGATTTAGGAAAAAAAAGTAAAGACAGCCTCGAATCAAGGAGATAGCTGTAGTTCTCCTTTTTATAAAATATTTTTAAAATTAACTTGAATTGCACAAGGTATAGCTGAATATATTCGACTTAAAACAGATATTTATCCTGTTATAGATAAGACCGAAGCCCCTTAACCCTCCCCCAGCCCCTGAAGTCTAGTCCTCTCTCCCTCTCTGGGCCTCTCCTGTTGCTCAGTCTGGGTAGAACCTTCCATATTTAAAAAATATATACTTTTTGTTTTAGACTAGTTTGGGATTTACAGAAAGTTGCAAAGATCATGCAAAAAGTTCCTGTATTTCTCTCACCCGGTTTGCTCTATTGTTAACATCTTACATTGTTATGGGACATTTGTCGCAATTAAAAACCAACACTGTTCCGTTACTCTTAACTAAACTTCAAACTTTACGAGATTTATCACTTTTCCCATTACCGTCCTCTTTTGTTCCAGGATCTGGCCCCAAGTTATCACATTGACTTTAGTCTTCATACCTGCTCAGTCTCCCGGATGTTTTAAAAATTACTCTTACATACACAGACATGAGCTTGTAGCTAATACAGAGCCATGTAAGAGAGAGTTAGTTTACATTCGTGTCTGAAAATTCCGGAAACCTTGGGAACTTTTTGATTTTTAAACAATATGTTAGTTAAATATTCAAACAATAAGCTCACTGTATTTTTCTTCAACCTCCAGACATCTTTACAACTATGTAGTCAATCATTTGCCTTAAAAAAAGAAAAGGAAAAGACAGTGAATAAATGTCTCAGTGAAGAAATGAATTATTTTTCCGAATTGTCAGGCTTTCTCAATACACTGTATAGAAATGTTTTCAGACATTATGATGCTTGCTCTTTTCACTCCAGATTTTAGTTTTGACATCTGTTCTTTTTGCTACAAGCAGATCTTTTTGCTACATGGAGATCGAATCCATTCTTTTCATTCTCTCTGTGAGAATGTCTTCCATCATGTGAGTAAGTTGTGGGATCTTTTTTTCTTTTGAGATGGAGCTTTGCTCTTGTTGCCCAGGCTGGAGTGCAGTGGCACAATCTCGGCTCACTGCAACCTCCGCCTCCCGGGTTCAAGCGATTCTCCTGCCTCAGCCTCCCCAGTAGCTGGGATTACAGGCATGTGCCAACATGCCCAGCTAATTTTTGTATTTTTAGTAAAGACGGGGTTTCTCCATGTTGGCCAGGCTGGTCTCGAACTCCTGACCTCAGGTGATCCGCCTGCCTCAGCTCTCCCAAAGTTCTGGGATTACAGGTGTGAGCCACTGTGTCTGGCTTTCTTTTGTCCCTTTGATGGACTCTTAGGTTGTTTCCAGTGTTTCTACTACTTCAGTGTGCTGTGTTCTCACTCAGGCTGGAGTACAGTGGCATGACCTCCACTCACTGCAACTTCTGCTTCCTAGGCTCAATTGATCCTCCTGCCTCGGCCTCCGGAGTAGCTGGGATTACAGACGCACACCACCATGCCTGGCTAATTTTCGTATTATTAGTAGAGAGAGGGGTTTTGCCACGTTGGCCAGGCTGGTCTTGAACTCCTGACCTCAAGTGATTTGCCTGTCTCAGCCTCCCAAAATGCTGGGATTACAGGCGTGAGCTACACCATGTGCAGCCCGGCATTCTTGACCTATGAAAATTCTCAGCCTGTGGAAATGTGGTCAAGTTGAGTAACTGCTCTCTGCCTCCGTTTCCCAATCTTTAAAATGGAGATGATGATCATAGTAGCTAACAGTGGAGTTGCTGGGTTAGAAGAAATGCCAGTTTAAATTATTTTGGCTAGTTCTTGCTAACTATCAATCTGAAGAGCAAATTTATCTTTGGGGATGAGCCTTTGGTTTTTAAAATTTTTTATTTATTATTTATTTATTTATTTTTGAGATGGAGTTTTGCTCTTGTCGCCCAAGCTGGAGTGCAGTGGTGTGATCTCGGCCCACTGCAACTTCTGCCTACTGGGTTCAAGTGATTCTCCTGCCTTGCCTCCTGAGTAGCTGGGATTACAGGCACGTGCCACCATGCCCGGCTAATTTTTTTGTATTTTTAGTAGAAACGGGATTTTGCCATGTTAGACAGGCTGGTCTTGAACTCCTGACCTCAGGTGATCAGCCCGCCTTGGCCTCCCAAGGTGCTGGGATTATAGGCGTGAGCCACTGTGCCCTGCTGAGCCTTTGATTTTTATATCTGTGGGCACCTTGGAAGGGTCAACAGTGGGTAGTGGGGAGAAGTGTGGGAATGAGGGTCACTGGCAGCTTGAGGGCAGGTGCATGGACCCTGGGGACCCCAGTTTAGATCCCTAATCTCACTTTCTCCTTCCAGCTTAGCTAGGGACACTCTGGTTATCTCCATTTTACAGAGGAAGAAACAGGCTCAGAAAGCTAAGCAACTTACTCAAGATCTGTCTGGATTAAAACTCTGGGCTATAAGAATTTTTAGCTTTTATTTTTAGAGATAGGATCTCACACTGTCGCCCAGGCTGGAGTGCAGTGTACAATTACAGCTTACTGGAGCCTTGAACTCCTGGGCTCAGGTGATCCTCTCATCTTAGCCTCCTCAGTAGCTGGGACTACAGGTGTGTGCTATCATGCCCAGTTAATTTTTAATATTTTGTAGAGATGGCATCTTGCTATGTTGTCCGGGATGATCTCAAATTCAGCTCCAGTGATCCTCCCACCGCAGCCTCCCAAAGTGCTAGAATTACAGGTGTGAGCCATCGCGCCTGGCTTTGCAAGAATTTTTAATTCACAGGAAGAATGAATTCTCATTCTTCCCACACTTTATACTGGTAATCTGAACACTTAAAAGTCTTAGAACTGTGTGACCTTAAGATACTAAGAGATGCAACTACAAGCAAAAGATTCTTAAAGAAGGACAAACAAGTGGAACAAGTGGGTAACCCTGATGCCTTGTGAATGGTGATCCAGTTTGGGTTGAAATAAGCAAGGCTCTGCAGCTCCCTCGTCTCATTTCTTTATCCTGACCAAGGCTTGAGGTAATTTCCCCCACCTTTATCATACAACTGAGGTTTAAAAAGATGAAGTGACTTTCCCAAGGTCATACAAAAATTATATTCCACATCTAGGCCCCTCCAACATTCATGCTTATCCCAGTAAGAAACCACTGTTTCTGGGTGTGAGCAACTCCATCTTTACCTCTGGAATTTAATTTAAAACTTTTAAATTAGAAAACATTTCAACTATACAGAAACAGAAAAAGAATACGGTAAGAACCCCCATGTACCGATACCTTGATTTGACAATCATTAACATTGTTTAAAAAACATTAGATGTAGGCCAGGCATGGTGGCTCAGGCCTGTAATTCCAGTGCTTTGGGAGGCCAAGGCGGGCCAATCACGAGGTCAGGAGATCAAGACCATCCTGGCTAACACGGTGAAACCTCGTCTCTACTAAAAATACAAAAATCAGCCAGGCGCGGTGGCAGGAGCCTATAGTCCCAGCTACTCAGGAGGCTGAGGTGGGAGAATGACGTGAACCCAGGAGGCGGAGCTTGCAGTGAGCCAAGATTGCGCCACTGCACTCCAGCCTGGGCAGCACAGCAAGACTCCATCTCAAAAAAAAAAAAAAAAAAAAGAATTAGATGTCATGATATTCCACCCTTGAATATTTCAGAATGCATAAAAAATGACAACTACAATTCTATTTTCTTGCCTGAGAATATAAAAAGATAATTCTTAATATCATCTAGTTCCCAGTTTAAATTCAAATTTCTGCAATCACAGCGAGAATTTTCAAGCCCCATTCAGTGAACATGAGGGTGGTGAGCTGAGAGTTAGGAGTATGGCTTGTGGGTCCATTGAGGCTAATTGATTTGCCTTGTGAGTATCAGAAACATTCTTCTTGCTTCCCAGGCCTCAGTTTATCTGTACTTTGAGGTGGCTCATGGAGGTGGTCTCTCAAGCCCCAGCCATGTCACCAGGCTACTGCATCTCTTTCTTTGGGCTTGTGTGACCACCATGGGGAGAATTGAGAGGGATCTCTTGGTTGGGAGGCTCCTTTTCTAGGGGTCCAGAAGGCATAGTGGCATCAAGTGAGGGTCCCTGTGGCCCAGTGGCTGGTCTAGGCCCTTGCAAGATGCAGAATTTATAGGCACAAATAAATCTGTCTCATTCTAACACGCACTGACCAGAGGTCACCCAACAGTGGTCCATGACTGAATTCAGCCCTGGATGGGCTGGGTTTGTGCTGTGTAGGACAAGAGGAGAAAATGGGGGGATTCCATACACAAAAATCTAGATTTCCAACTTCTTGTGAAAAATGGGAAGATCTAGCAATACTTTCCTGGGACTCAGTGGTAGCACCCTCTCTAAACCTTGCCACAGTCCCCACTACTCCCTGTTGCCTCTCCAACATGCAGCTACTCTAGTTACCACTCTACTTCCTCTCTGTTGTTTCCTATGCTGAGAAATAATTCTGTGAATTTGTATCTATTTCAAAAGCCAGAAAATAAAAACTAGGGCTAGGCCATGTGCTTTTTCTGCACAGTGGTAGCAGTGCGGGGCAGGTATGGAAGAGCATCTGGGAAACCCTGTTAATGGCAGACTGAAAAGCCTGGCGGCCTGTGGGTAAGCCCTGGGGGAAGAATGGGTTAAGCAGGTTAAACAGAATTTTGTTTAACAGCTGAGCTGGAGCAACCCTTTTGTTCCCCATCAAATCCTCCCAGAGCTTAAGGCCCTGAATTAAGTTGAAATGATTGAACGGAGAAGTTGGGCAGTCTACCCAACATTGCGCAGATGAACCACGCCAGCCTCTGCTCTGGACAATCTAGAAGACGGACTCTGTGTCAGGCGCTTAACCTGCATTGGCTTTCTTAACCCTCTCAGCAACCCTGGGAGGCAGGTGCTGCCCATTGAACACTGACTGCATACATGACTCATTCAGAGCAGGCTCTGTTCTGAGTGCTGGAGTGAACAACACGTCCTCCCTTCATGCCTCTTCCATCTAGTGAAGATGCGATGCCTCAGGGGGCACGGAGGCGGGTGACATCCCATCCTTGACTCCTCTGCATGATTCACAAAGGGTCACGTGGGAGACAGATCCAGGGCAGGCGGTAGTGGTGGCCGTGGGGTCAGTGAGTGAGGAATGGGCAGTTTTCTGAGGAACCCACATGATGGGGCTCCAGTGGGGAGTCAGAAAAGATGCCTTGGGATCTGACCCACAGTGGGCAGGAAACCGGCTGTGTGGGCAGGAGCCGGGGACGGAAAGGTCAGGGCCCACCGCCCTGCTAGCCAGGGCCTGGCAGTGCCTAAAAAAGTGAGAGTGTCTGTGGGTGAGGCTAGAGCCCACAGGCCCCAAAACAGCCTCCTTCGCCCCCGCTGGCCACAGGCTGAGTCACCCTGGAATGTGGCCACAGCCTGGGTTGGATTGAGGGCCCGGGGCTGGAAGAGCCAGCGTCAGGGGTCAGGCGCCTGGGCTCCGGGCTTCCTGCCTTTGTCCACGCCTCCTTGGGACTTTTCTGGGGGAAGAGGAAAGCTGCCAGGAATAACACCTGGCTCGCTGGTGAGCTCCGGCCACAGCTGGGAGAAAGGCAGGGAAGGGAAGCCCGCTCCCACCTGCAAAGATGATTTAGGAGAAAATTTCAGGGCCTGCATTTGAGTAGGTCTCTGAAATCTCTCTGCGAAATGTCCACTTAGGGTGACTGGGGGCCAGGGTGGTATCAAGAGGGGGGTCACTGCAGCCAGACCTGCCTGGATTAGAAACCCAAGTCCTCTATGGTGGGCCCTCTGGCATGGGACTTAGCCCTCTGCACCTCAGTTTCCTCCTCTGTAAAATGGGCCTGGCAGTAATAATTGCTTCCTCATAAGGTTAGGGGAGGATTCATTGAGTCACTGAGATAGTCCTCAGTGTGGTGTCTCTCACATCATCAGGGTTCATTAACTGTTAGCCATTATTTCCAAGCAAGGAAATGTTTGGAAAATGCCAAGTATAGCACCTGATGTGTAGTTGGCACTAGGTAAATGGTGCCCAGGAATCTTACTGCTCCTGCTTCTCAGCTGCCCCGCAGCT